CACCTAAATTTACGCCGACAGTCACTTTAAGTAGCGTCAGAACTGCGTGACAATACAGTCCCTTTAAGTAGCGTCAGAACTGCCTGACTGTAAGGATAAAAAATATAAATAATCCAGCATGAAATTACAGTTTATATTTTAACGATGGTTGCCTCTGTTGAGATAAAAGTGAAAAGATGCTGAGTAAATAAACCATATGGTTCTTAGACTTATCTGTTCATATATATTATATGTATATATATACACATATTCTGTCCACATAGTCCGTTATAAGAAAATATATAGTACAAATGGTCGTATACAAATAGGGGGCTGGGTAAATGAAAATCATTAATTTTAAGGGGGATTTGGACTCAACAAGGGGAGGCCCCCTTCCCCCCCCCCCCCCCTACCCTGGAACGTTTAAAAAGATTAAGCAATACTGCACATATTCATGCACTTAATTATTTCACGGTACCGTACAATCCGTTCGGGCCACGTAACTGAAAGTTTTCAGGGTTGGGGGGCCCACATTGGGTAAAATGGGGAGACAAAAGGCACATCTTTTACTTATAATTTGAATCGACACTTGCCAGGTTATTTTACTTTGTTACTTCAAAAAACCGCATAAGCTAATTTCGCTTTGAAAACATCCCACTCTGAATGCTTTACACAGGCCAAATATATGCAGCAAACTTTATAATGGACAATTTTTTCAGTACAATATCTAAACATCTTGTTGTACGGCTACTCCCCTTTATCTTAGACACCCTTGGTTAATTTTTGTTTTGACCATCCAAGCCAAACAGCCACCTTGGTTAGGCGGGTCCGGACTTAATGATACATTGATACTGATTGTTAATGTTATTTCATATCATGGTTTTGTTAAAAAAATATGAAATACGATATTTTAAGTTTTAAGTTTGGGGTTAAGCTCTTATCTTGTATAAAAGCTGTTTTAACACTAGAGTGCTGACTGCTGAGTGAAAAGAGAAGGGGAGGGCAATTGTTCCCTTTTTCATCTCTCCACACCGCACACGAAAAGAGGAGGTGAGGGCAATTGTTCCCCTTTTATCTCTCTCTACACCGCACACGAAAAGAGGAGGGGAGGGCAATCGTTCCCTTTTTTATCTCTCTACACCGCACGCGAAAAGAGTAGGGGAGGGCAATCGTTCCCTTTTTCATCTCTCCACGCCGCACGCGAAAAGAGTAGGGGAGGGCAATCGTTCCCTTTTTCATCTCTCCACGCCGCACACTACACACAAAGTTAGAAAACAGAACTTAATAAACGGAATTATCATAATCATAGACTTTTTAAAAATTCTATTCAAAATCATATAAAAATTCGCACACTTACCGAAAACGATCTAAAAATATAAACTTAAGTAATAGTGCTATTTGCTGTTTTTTTCCCTTGGATTCGAATCAAAAGCAACATTATCATAACCTTTAACATTTTTTGTCTGGGATAAAACCGAGTCATGCAATACACTACCAATGAAAAATATCCATAGATCAATCATACAATACGATGTTTGTGGTTCGGATTAGATTAAACATGACGATAATTGTGGCTCGGAGTGCATATAAATACGGTTGTCGCCCCGGACACCCCCCCCCCTTTCCTTATTCCACAATCAGCAAGTATATTGTTTAATGTTTATTGATAAATATTTGAGTCCAGTTCTAACTTAGCATTCATACAGTCATACTGAATACACAATATACAACTTGAAAATAGGCGTAATTTAGGATAAGTAGGAGGGGGAGGGGGGTCATTTTAATCCTACACTGATATCGTGTTTTCTCCTCTTGTAGGGTGCAAACTACAATCACATTCAAATTTTATAATTCTATTTGGAATTCTAAACATTTTTTTTAACCCTGGGAAAAGTTGAAACTGGACAAATAGTGGTTTTATTTTGTGTTATTATTTTTTTTCGTAATTTATCCTTTACATAGCCTTGGACACAGTGTATAGTTTCATATTGACTTATTAACATAGAACTTGTGTAGGTGCAATATCATAGTATACAGTGTATAGTAATGTATTGTCAAGTGTTTAGTATGCAGTGTGCAGTGTGCAGTGTGCAGTGTGCAGTGTGCAGTTTGAATTGAATGCAGTGTTCAGTGTGCAGTGGCAGCGTGAATTGAATCCAGTGTTCAGTGTGCAGTGTGAATTGTATGCAGTATGCAGTATGCAGTATGCAGTATGCAGTGTGCAGTGTACAGTGTGAATTGTGTGCAGTATGCACTGTGCAGTATTTAAATCGTTTACAGGTGAATTTTGTGAAGTGTGCAGCGTTCAGAGTGCATTGTGCATTATAATAGCGTGCAGTGTGCAGTATAACAGTGTATAGTGCGCAGTATAGCAGTGTGTAGTGTGCAGTGTGCAGTGTGCAGTGTGTGCATTTTATAGTGTGCAGTATTCACCGAAGAACGGTGTGAGCGTGCATTAAGCTTAGAAAAACGGGTTTTGCATTATAGTTCAACTTCTTTGGTAAGCCGAATTAAATTCAATAGAGCCTCTCCCCCTAGGAAGGGAAGGGGGGAGGGGGGCGTGGGAGAAGGGGACATGATATAAGAGATGGGGGTGGGGGTGTTGTATTAGGGAACACTTTCAAAAACACTTTTCTTATCGTTAATAATATTTATTATTGTAAATTGTAGTGACCTGTCAAATATCAATTATATACTTACACATCTATATTAGATGTATTGTGGATATAGCGTACATTGAATACACAAAATAGCAAATATTAATAACTATTTGAAGAAAATATCAAATATTTTCTAACGACGTATTTTTATTCACAATTTAGTAATGAGTGTTTGAAAATGAAATCTTTTTTTCGAATTTTTAGAACTTGACATTTAGTTATTGTTTTTATTTTTGCACCTTATAAAGATGAAATATGCAAAAATATGTTCAACATTTTATAAAAACTTGGTGCAGTGTTGGGAATACAAAAAAAAAACCTTTTCAAAATCTCAATTTTTTAAAAATTTTATATATTTCAGAGAAAAAATGGGATAATTTTTATCCCTTGTAGAACATGTTTAGATAAAAACCCTAGTTGTTATTCACAGCAATGAACTTTCTTCACAGGTATAGTGTTTTAATAATAACATTTAAATCATCGACAATTTTTATTTACTATGTGTATTTTTCAAGAACCTGAGCTGAAAACTTTAGAATGGTGGATATCAGGATTAATGCTTAATCCTCTCTTTTTCTTAATCTCCAGATTAAATATTGCTTGTTCTCCTCTTGTTATTAATCTCCAGATTAATTAACAGATCGGGATTAAGGATATCGCATTCTAAAGTTTTCATCTCTGGTTACACAAAAGGATGAGACTTCAGAGACGACTGTACAGAATTTGTTTCCTTATAATTATTTCCTGGAACTGTAAACTTGTTTCTTTCTTTGCCTAATAGTTAAATAAGCCAAACATTTGAAGAGTTATGGATTGTCTTTACAGGCTCATTCTTTGAGGGCAACCCTTTAGTTTTAAAAAAAAATCTGATAAAAATTAATTTTAAAAAAGTTGTAAAAAAGTTTCTCAAGTAGAGGGTTTAAAAAAATATTAATTTTCACCAAGAACTTTATTTTCACCCGAGCATGACTTGATGACAAAAAAATATGAATTTGGATTTCACGAGACAGCGCCAGTGTAAATATAAAATTTCTTTTTAAAATATTTTATAGTTTTAAAATATATTTTTGCAAAATTTGTTTTCCAGGTTTATCAAGGGTACCGTTGTGAATCGGTTATTACCCTCTTTTCATGGAGGTTCCCTAGAAATTACGCGTAAGAGAGCTGGGAAGGGGGGGAGATCCAAATTTTTGCCCCTGACCTATAAGCGTTAACATTTTCCCAGACATTTTCTATTTTCTTTATCTAGTTTTTCATGCTTCATTTATGAAAAGAACTTAATTTTAATTCTTTTCACATTTCGTCTGAAATATATCAGAGATTCTGCAGTCGCGCCTTCTATATGCTTGGCATGTCTGTTTCGCTGTTTGTTTTTATCAAATATTAACGTCAATTTTTTGAGGGACGTCTCACGACACGTAAAATGTTTTTGGATGGACAGAATTGAAAAAAAAACTCCTTCAAAATTTTGATTTATGAAAATCCAAGAAAAAAATCCGTATTTTTTTGTTTTTTGATAATTTTAGATTTAAGATTTAAGATTTAAGATATATGATAAAGTAAATCGAGAAGCCTAGTATTCAAAAGAACAATGAGACCAATTTTTTATACAATTTATAAAAAAATTGGTAAAAGTTTTTTTTAAATTATCTTTTTTAAAGTTTAAAATGAACAGTGAATAAGAAAGATAGATAAAGTGATAAAAAGCATGAAGATTTTACGGCAGCAGTTATAGTTAGAACTGCCCAGGGTACAGTCTGACATAGATACGCCGGGGTTCTCCAACATTTCAGATCTTTCAAGAAAATTTAGCAACACTGCAAAAAATAATTTGCATTAAAAATTGGATTATTTGAAAATGAAATTAGTTATTTTTAATTTTAGAATTTGTTAAAAGGAGCTGTAGACGTAATTTCAACTGACCCTCCATTTATACAGTGGCATGTCAGATTATCTACCGTACCCATAAACCTTGGTCTGATCAAGGATGGAAGAGAGAATTTACCTGAGTAACATTGAGAAAGATTATCGTTTGTTTAATTTCTTTCTATCTACTTGTTAAATTTTCAAGTCAATTTTTTGGGAAAAAAATCTTAATGGAAAATTTACATTTTTATATATTTTTCTTTTTATGATTTTAAAAAGTATCATTGAGAATAGGACCTGCCACTGTACTAAAGGGAAGATAAGGGAAGATCATTAAAGTTACATTTACAGCCATTAAAAAAAAGTATGGTTTATAGATATACAGTGAATAAACACATAACTTATATTTAATATTTGGCGTTGTTCAAAATTATACAAGGACTTATTTACAAACAAATCGTCCCCTACCATATTTATCTCAAATTTTAATGCCAGAGTACACACAGGCAGAGAACACGTTTTTTTCTTTATGCAATTTTTTTAATTATCACTAAATCTGAAAATTTTCTGTATGTCTCAAAAGTCCCATCTAAAGCTTTTAACGGCCCAGTTTTATCTGGAACACTCTGTATCCTATAAAGGAAAAGCTTTTTCAGGTCCCCAGAGTCCACGATGTTTCGAGCAGTTCCCGGGCCCACGTCCTCTGTGTTTGAAGTAGCTCCAGGGCCCAAGTCTCCAGTATTTCAAGTAGTTCCTGGGCCCACGTCTCCAGTATTTCAAGTAGATCCCGGGCCCACGTCTCCTGTCTTTCAAGTAGTTCCCGGGCCCAAGTCTCCTGTCTTTCAAGTAGTTCCCGGGCACAGTTCCCGTCCTCCTAATTATGAGAACGTGGACTTATTCAAGGAATGGTTATTTTTTCACAACGATGCCCTTCAAAAAAAATTCCTTCGTTGTTTTTGGCCTAGTGACAGCATAAATGCGCAAGTAACTTTAAAAAAGGACCTGCAATATTGATTAATCAATTGGTACCGTTACGAATCGGACCTGCCACTGTATATTTAGGGGAAGTTAAAATTTTGCCAGCAATTCCTTAAAGATACGAAATGTAAACATTCAGCATTTATTTTTTATATGTTTTTTATTTATTTATTTTTTTTTCGTAAAAAAAAAACAATTTTCCCCTCAGAACTCAGACGATCCTTTCGGAGAGGATTTCGAGGCAGCACTTCTTCAGGGCATTAATGCCAGGGTTAAAAAGGTAAAGGATTGTAAAAGAAAATACAGGGTTACCCACAAAGAATGATACTGTAAAGACTACCTGAATCTCTTAAAATGTAGTGGTCATAAGGTTGGATTAAGTCTTTTCAGGCGTTTTTATTGATTTTGCAAAGAAAGAAACAAGTTAACAAGAGCAGGGAATGATGAACATAAAGAAAGAAACAAGTTAAAAATAGCAGGGAATGATGAATATAAAGAAAGAAACAAGTTAACAAGAGCAGGGAATGATGAATATAAAGAAAGAAACAAGTTAACAAGAGCAGGGAATGCTGAATATAAAGAAAGAAACAAGTTAACAAGAGCAGGGAATGATGAATATAAAGAAAGAAACAAGTTGAAAATAGCAGGGAATGATGAATATAAAGAAAGAAACAAGTTAACAATAGCAGGGAATCATGAATATAAAGAAAGAAACAAGTTGAAAATAGCAGGGAATGATGATCATGAATATAAGAAAGAAACAAGTTAACCATAGCAGGGAATCATGAATATAAAGAAAGAAACAAGTTAACAATAGCAGGGAATCATGAATATAAAGAAGCAGAGAGTATAAATTCCATTCAATCGTCTCTGAAGTCTCAAGTTTAGTGAATTACCTTGTATGATTTGCATTTTTTTGTTAGAGAATAATAGTTTGTATCTGTCGTTAAAAATCTATCGAATAAATCTTGGTGACTTTATGTGAATTCTAACAAAAAAGTTCTTATTCCATAAAACGAAAGGCCCATGTTTTTATGCTTGAAAATGGCTCGAAAGTTAATGTTAACTCTAAACTCATCCGTTCTCAAATCAGGGTTCATTGGGTACTTTTTGTTGCAAATCGTGAATTAGAAATAATTTCTTTTTTTATTTTTAGTTGAAAACTGACAAAAAAGCAATAAAATTTTTAATAATTCTTAATAACTCTTAATATTAATATTATATATAGACCAGTGTAAGCTCTGTGGATTCATCAACACCATCTACCACGCCCCAGCTTCCTGCCACGCCTTCCAAGGAAAATAAAACATATAATTTAACTAATATAACTAAAAGGGACTGTACACGTAATTCAAAAGACTATCTGTACAACAGCACACTACAAACCTTTGTACAAGAAAGGATGACGTAAATGTTCTCAATGCATACTCTATACTAATGTGTACTTGTAGAGTCGTGCACATGGAGAACCTACCCTGCATGGAGAGCATGTATTTTAATCAACACAAGTCTAGACATCAAATTTAAAACCAATGTTATAACATTCAAAATTATTAGTTAACATAATAAATGTAAATGATTATAAAAGGGGGAAACGCAAAAAAATATTTTATCCTTTAAAAATATTTAACAGTCATTTTTTTCGAGACATAGTTAATTTTATAGTTTTTGCCCAACCAAAATACTTGAATAGATATCGACAAATTATTAATGTTGATGTCTAATTGTGTAGAAATTGTTTAACACTAGGGGCAGGGTTCTCCATCCAGGGTAGAGGCTCCACACACGACACCGGGACTAAATCTTTAAGATCTTATGATAAAAATATCTACGTAATCCTTGAGACGTATGTTTAAAGGCACTGTTGTGAATCTGACATCCCTCTCTGTCGTTTGAAATTAGGTCTTTAGTCCCTTTAAGAAATTTTAAAATAAAAATTTTGCAATTTTTATAAAAAAAATATAACTTGTTTAATGTTTTACTTATTCCTGATTGTTTTTAAACTCCGAATTTAGCTGAGGATCAATTTTTTTGAATTTGCAACAAATAGTAATTTAATGGTGCCACAATGTTATTGGATTTGCAAATTTATTTAAAGAAAATCCAACAAAAATAAATATTTAAATGTAATATGCAATATGAAATTTATTTAACTATATTATTAATGAAGCATTTTTCATACAAATACATACTTAACATTTCCAAAAATGTACGCAAAAATTTTTAAAAATCCAGGAATCAAATTACAACAAAAATGTGGGAGATATTTTACAACAATTTACCAAATAGTCTTAATATGTTTGAAATCAGGGGTTCCCTGCCCAGTACACGGAATCTCCTCCAATACCTATAAAAAAATGTTCAAGATCACACAGTAGGGTTTCCAGGTTTGACAAAATTTTAAGAAAATTAATTTTTTTGAAAATAAATTTTTTCTTCAAAATTCAAAACTTTTCTCTATTCAAATTTATTTGAGTGCAATATTGTCATTAATATGATGATTTTTAAATATGGTAAAAATTTATTATTTTTTATTAATGTCTAAAAATGTTTCTTTCTACGTACTAAGCCTTGATATTTGACACCAAATATAAGGCTGCAAACTATAGTCAGCAGATACAAATATAAACCTCAGCATTTAGGTCTTCTTCCCTTCTCCTCTTACACACTTCCTTCTTCTCTTCTCCCCTTACACACTCCCTTCTTCCCTTCTCCCCTTACACACTTCCTTCTTCCCTTCTCCCCTTACACACTTCCTTCTTCCCTTCTCTCCTTACACACTTCCTTTTTCCCTTCTCTCCTTACACACTTCCTTTTTCCCTTCTCCCCTTACACACTTCTTTTTTCCCTTCTCTCACCCTTTTCGTTTTTAGAAGTATTAAAATATCTTAATTCAGGAATTTCCATTTAAATCTTAACCCTAGTCCTTACAGAACCCCCTTGTATTAAATTAGCATAACTCATAAAGAAAGATACAGAGGACGTTCAAGTTTTTTAAGTTTTCCAAAAAAATTAGATTGGGTATTGCCATCTGCAATCTTCCTACGTCTCAAAGCATACTGCCCGACTGCCTACTTTATACTAACAATTTTTTAGTTTTTCTTTCTTGCAAACCAAGTTTTGTAAGATTTTGCAAATTTTGCATATTTCAATTAACTGTTCTCTAACTTAATACTGAACAACAAGAGCGTTTTCAAAGTTCCAAATTCAGTTGTAATATATAACAGAATTAATAGGATAGTTCAAAAAACTAGTTATTGAAATACCAGTGTCACAAACTTTTAGTGGGGTCTTAGCACTCCATAGCAATAAAAACAAACCAGTAAATCTTGATTCATAAATAGAAGACACAGATCTTCATCATTTCAGTTCTTGAACTGGTGCTTACTAGATAACCTGATTTTCTCTCCTCTTTATGGATGATTAGGATATAATATCCAGTAAACGATTTCTTCTGTAAATGATTTCACTATTTTGATCTGTGGATTAAGAAAACCCACTACTATGCTCTACCTTCTCCCCATCTAAACACTCAGAGGGCACATTCAACATTCAAGATGTTTATGTAGCATCCACTTGAAATATCATGCAAATATATTATAAATTGGTAAACAAACTAAACTAAGGAAACAATCCCCCACATGCATTATTTTTAAATGAAGAATCAACTTTTACTTATAAACAAGTTTAAAACATGATATAATATTAGTTTTATGGGGATAAAAATATAATAATGGAATTCTTAAACTCCTATTTTTTCTTATAAGATTATCATATACTCTCATATATTCTCTATTCTCATATATATTCTCTCTATTCTCATATATTATCTCTATTCTCATATATTCTCTCTATTCTCATGTAGTCTCTCTATTCTCATATTCTCTCTATTCTCATACATTCTCTCTACTCTCATATATTCTCTTTATTCTCATATATTATCTCTATTCTCATATATTATCTCTATTCTCATATTCTCTCTATTCTCATATATTCTCTCTATTCTCATATATTCTCTCTATTCTCATACATTCTCTCTATTCTCATATATTTTCTCTATTCTCATATATTATCTCTATTCTCATATTCTCTCTATTCTCATATATTCTCTCTATTCTCATACATTCTCTCTATTCTCATATATTCTCTCTATTCTCATATATTATCTCTATTCTCATATATTCTCTCTATTCTCATGTAGTCTCTCTATTCTCATATTCTCTCTATTCTCATATATTCTCTCTATT